CATCTATGCAGGTTGTCCTTGAAGGGGCTGTGAACTTGGTTGTAGGATAACCAACCTGGCTCAGTGGACAGAATCCGTTCAGTTTATCTCAGCTCTCACTGTGCCGTCCGCTGATGGGTGACTGTCTCTGTCACTGCTTGCTGATTCCTCCAGTACTGTTAGAGGTAACAAAGCCAGCTGTATTTCTGGCTTTATGAAAATACGTACACTCAGGATGAAGGAACACACTTCAAAATATGATTTAAACTTAAATGCTTTTTCAAACACGTTAGAAAAACCATTTTAACAAAAGCGTGCTAGCAATTTAAAAGCTGTTGCCTTTAGCACTTTACTTTGCAAAGTTCATTACTGTGAGATGGGACATTGCTTTTCAGTACTTGATACCTGCTTTGACTTAGAGTGAGATAATTAACTGTGTTCTCTAAGATACTGGTGTCACTGAAATTAGTGCACTCATTTTCTCCAGGTCTTTTCTAAACTTGCTGTAGGGATGTACTCACCTCGCTGTGTCAGGGCACCTTAATAATAACTTGGGAACAACCTGCCCTGCCAGGAGAACAGATGTATGTGGAGCAGATGCGTTCAGTTTATTAAAAGGAACAGTCTGTCTTCTGAAAAGATTTACTCATTATGAACTAGCAGTTAAGGCTACTCTCTATCATCTTTTTTCTCATGACTCCCTGATATTTTTTTTTTTTAGTGGTAAGTACTGAATGAAGATATACTATCTGACGGAAAGTAATCCATTTACTAGGGTTTAGATAAACATGACACATGGCCAGCTGAGGAGACGTTGCTGGTTCCATGCATGCTCCCACTTCGCCCCATATGAGGGACTGTCTTCATGGTGATTGAATCTACGTTGTGTTATTTCAGAGTTGGGACAGGGTCACAGTAGGCTCAGGTTATCCAATAGCAACTGTCTGAGCTCCTATATCTGAACTACTTTGTGTTGTGTGCTCATTCCTGAAAGCATAGACTATGCATGCATACATATATATATATGTAAAACCAAAAAAAGCTGCTTTTCTTAGGAAGCAATAACATTCTTTAGAGGACAGATAAGATCCACAGTGCTGTTACAGTTCTAGATGTGTCATGGGACTTGGAGAGGTGGAAGTGGTCTCCTAGGCTTCACGTAAAGAAAATAATGGACCTAAAGGTATGTCTACAAAATAAAATGAAGATTGTCCTACAGATAGGCACAGGCTGTAAGAGTCCAGTGTCTTCATCAGATTATCTTTTCGTGAAGGCTTGCACTGTGGTTACAGCTTCAAGCACAATGCTTGCATCACCACATTTTCACTTCTACCTTTTTTTCCATTTATCACTTTCACCAGGTCAGCAGGGAGGGCAGAAGTCTTTGGATCTGATCTTTCCTTGAAGGAAAGAATTGTTGAAGTTTTAACCAAGGACATTGTAATGGAAAATGTGCAACTACTCAAGGCAGCAGAAACAGCTTTTTCTGAATGAGCATACAAATTATTCAGCTACAGTCCTCTGTTCTCCTGCTTACTTTTTGGAAAGTACTCCAGCTTCATCTGAAGAACTGGGTGACACCTACTCAGAGAGTTTTGTGTGTGGGACACTCTGCTGGGAAAGAGAAGCTGTAAGTTTAAATCTGCTGGCACTGCAGGGCTCATAAAGCCCAATATCCCAGCTGATGTGCTGCTCTCCAGAAGGGGGTTATATTGTCATCATCAGTTTTTAAAATAAAATGTCATAGTTGCAGTTTTTTGAGCTCAGATCAGTGATACCAGCCTGTCTCAGGATAGCTTGTTTTCAACTCAATCAAGGATGTGAGCAGTGAGTTTTAGTGACTTCCAGGATTAATTAATCTTTAAGAAAGGCTTTTTGGATCAGCCTCTTTAACATGTTTCAGAATTTTGTCTAATTCCCATTGGGTTGCAATTCAGTCGCACAGTGAACACCACATATGTTTGCATCTACAGGTTTGGCTACAGATGTTGGTGAAGCTTGTCCATGCTGTCTATAGTAAGTGGCATCCCAAAAGTGCTGACTGGGTTTTCAAATCAGCTTTGGACTGCCTAGCTACAGCACAAAAATATGTTTTTTTCTCATACAGATTGGAAAGGCCACAGAATAAAAGACTGAAGAGGTAGAGGGAGGGAGAAAGGAAATATGAAAACCAGAGGGCTGTTTGCACCATGCTCTCTAGGGACCTAAAATTGGAATGGTAAATCTATAGGCTCTCTGTGGTCAAGGGAGGAAAAGAAAGGGCTAGGAAGGGAGTGAATGAATTGGGAAAGGTCAGAGAACACATTCTAGAATTTTGAAAAAACAAGACTAAATTCTTTATATTAGATTCTGGCAATTATCTCAGTGTCTGTAGAATACCAACAGTGCCACAGACATGTTTTAACTATAGATACACCAACATATTTGTGCAATGACTGATGAATAGTTTCATTACTTGTCTTGAGCTGGTGGGATTAATTCTGAGTAGCAATGATGGTACCTGCTGCACTTCTGAGAAAGGTGTTACATCTTTGCACAGTAGTGCAAGCATAATTTGGCCTTCCTGTTCTGCCATGCTAAAACACTCTGTAATTACACTGAGTTCATTAGTCCCTTGAGTGCACTGTTTTATTCTGTTCTGGTAACTGTCTTGAACCACACTGATGTAAAAGTAACATTTGATTATCTATGTAAAAATAAAGTATAAAGCAAATACCACAAGCACTGCCTAGAGCTAAAGAACAAGATTTTGGAAAACTACTGTGTTTCCTTAATTAAAATAAATACTTTCAAGGAGGAAGTGTGTGCTAAATCAACATCTTACCTCTTAATCTGTAGTAAGCTTGGTGACTGGCTAAAATCTGCTTCACTGATTCTTGCGGGCAGACTTTCACACCAGTTGAGAAAAAGGATGATCTCTTTGTTCGGTGTTTTGCCATGTCAAATATCCGCCTTATGGTTGATACTCTGGACCTCTTTGTTGTTCTTTCTGCTTTGTCTGACCCTGAGGCATCTGCAAGATGTTTGGCTTCACCACGGTTAATTTTATTAGGGATTTCTGGAACAGATAAAAAGTATGTACATAAGCATACATTGCAAAAGCAGTCGGTATCCAATGCAAGATCATGTCTGGAATATGGGCATGGCCCTGAGAGGTCTTTTTATTGCTTTATATTGGTGTCAATCCCCTGACCGAATTAATGTGCTGAGAAGAAACATCCTGTGATCACACGGGGGAACTGGGACTCAGGCGACCTGGTAACTAATTTCCTTATATCTTAACACGTGACCCCAGGACACACAGGGTAAAAGTTTCAGAAACCTAAATCTTGTTTTCAAAAGCGGCTTTGGGTTAAATCCATAAAGGACACTTAAGTGCTTGAACTTCATGCTACAGCATCTCATTTGCGAGCATAACATCCTGCAGGGAAATTTACAGTATAGTGATAAGTAAGAGCCTGAAGCTTGGGGAAAGTGAAACATATCTGTGTCTATGCTAGCAGATAAGTAAAATGAGAATGTGTTATACCTGAAATCTGCATCCTTTTAAGATATTCTTAGCTTTCCTCTGGGCTTCAAGGCATATCTCTTTTCACATCAGGTTCACAATCTTGAACCCATCACAAGAACTGGGCCCTGAAACTCTTCCTTTCAAAAGCTGAACAGATTGACTGTCTTTGAAGAAAGAAAGAAAGACCTGTTTCCAGTCTCCATTCTTTACTCACAGTGCACTCCTCTATCCTTCCCTCACATAACTGAAGTATTAATCTCTACAGATTGCAGTTATGCTGCTTTGCCACTGGATGATGGGTGTTGTGAATGCTCTGGCATTGTATCTCAATAGATCTTTAAATATTCCTGGCAAAGCAGAACAGCTACAGTAAAAAAAAGAGTAAAATCAGTGAGTGGGAATTGAAGATCTAAGCTTAAGTTTTACTTATGGAGCTATTCAATTATGAAAAATGGAAATGCTTCCAGGGTGTCAAAATAGCCTTAAAAATAGGAATCCCCATCTTAAAAGGCACACAGAAATTCAGGACTCCTTTGGTTCCACTTCCTAAGTATTTGTGATGCAGTATTACATGACATAGCAGCTAAATATAATGTAAAATATTAATGGTAAAAATAGCATATAAGCATGTAACATTTAAATGAGCCGTAAATGAGCTGCATTTTGCAGGACCGTGTGACAAGAGCATTTAGTATATTTTAGATATTCTTCCAGAATTTTGCATTCATATTAATAAGGATGTTAAAGCTGATTTGGAAATACCTTTTTTTGGTTTCATTTTCATACATTTAATACAGCCATTACAGATGAAAAATAAAGAAAAATGTAAACAGAATAGAAGTTGTTTTGAAAGAACTATTTTGAAAGAGAAGTGTAAAATTTGTAGATAATAGGAAAAATTTAAGGGAGAAAATGTGAGAAAAGCATGGTATATGTGTACCTGAATGCTGATGAATGAACCTAAAAAACTGCTTTGAAGAATGGTTTAGAAACTTGTAGATGAATAATAAAAGGAAATAATAGGGTTCAAAAGGAACAAATTCGGTGAGAGTAATATTATTTTAAAAAATTAAGAGTAAAAACTTATCAGTTTGCTGGAGAAAGAAGAAATGTCGTGCTGCAGGTAACAAACACTAATTATCATGTTCTTAGGCAAATCGAAAGAAAATAAGGAGTATAGGAACATATTATCTTGACAATTTGGAGCTGTTAATTAAATGTTTATAGAAAAGTGGGCAGATAAATGATTAGCGAAAAATAATTGAAAAGCATACTGTTTACAATAAGAATAGTACTTGAAGTAAAAAATGGGAGAA